TGTTACATAACACCTTCTATTATATACTCATTCAATAATTTTAAAGATTCCCGTGTAATTGTAACCCCTCTGTATGGTATTTTCACAAGAAAAAATAAATAAAATATAAAAAATAAGATAAAAATTATGCCAAGCTCTGGTGGCTCACACCTGGAATCCCAGCTACTCGGGAGGCTGAGATATGAAGACTTCCAGCCTGGCAAGAAAGTCCATAACACTCCTCTCTCCAATAAACTACTCAGAAAAGATCTGAAGTGGCGCTGTGGGCCGAAATGGTAGAGTGCTAGCCTTGAGCAAAAGAGCTCTGGGAAAGTGTCCAGGCCCAGAGTTCAAGACCCACAACTAATAATAATAATAATATTATTCAAAGATTGATCCAACGTGTATGCAGTGGCTCACACATGCAAGGTTGAATCAGGAGGATTCAGATCCAAAGCAAGCCCAGGAAAACAGTTCAAAAGATTCCCCCTCCAATACTAGCTGGGTATGGTGGTGTACATCAGACATACCAGCCAAGTCTGAGGCTGAGATTGGGATGGTTGTAGTGATAGGTCAGCCTGGGCGAAAACAACTCCTAAGATTCTATCTAAACAATAAGATCTCAGCATCTACGTTCATATCTGTCATCCCAGGTACTTAAGGAAACACCCAATAGGAATATGAGGGTACAGGCTGACCTGGGTATAAAACAAGAGTATAGCTCAAAAATAACCAAAGTGGGGCTGGGAAGGTGGCTCAGTGGTAGAGGCTTGCCTTGCATGCATGAGGCCCTGAGTTCGATTCCTCAACACCACATAAACAGGGGGGAAAAAGCCGGAAGTGGCAATGTGGCTCACAAGTGGTAGAGCGCTAGACTTGAGCTGAAGAGCTGAGGGACAGCGCCCAGGCCAGAATTCAGGCCCCACGATCAGACCCGGAAAAAAAAATAATAACCAAAGTGAAAAAGGACTAGAGCAGGTCTCTAGTAGTACAGCCCCTGCCCTAGCAGTGCAGAGCATAGTGTGTAAATGCCACTGCTGCAAAAACAAAACTATGAACCAACTGTAAAATAGAATGTTTAAGCAAATCATGAAAATCTTTTATTCAGTGCAGGAACGAAACACCTGAGTGATACAAGTGTCACTGCTGATGAGCACAAAGGGGTTCAGGACTGAGAAACACACACCCAGGAACACAGACATGTCCTCCAGCCACAGGTCTAGTTTCGTATTTAGATCAACACAAAGAGTGAAAATGGCAGATAAGCAGTAGAAGAAGACAAACATGCTCACCAGGGTCAGGATGTTGTGCGTGGCCCAGGCCTAGTGGTCAGTTCTTTGAGAGGGAATGTGGCTGTGAATGTGCTGGACCCTCTGCTGTGTCTGTGCAGGACAAGGACCACGGAGCCACTGGCCCACATCATGAAAACCAAGTACATAACATCAATGGAAGAGAATAAGACCATCTGTGATAAACGTACAAATGGTTTTGGTGGGGCTGCTCCTGGGGAGCAGTAACTATAATGCATGTATAGAGTGACATTTTGTTTGTGTCTTGGGCCAATCACTCTCAGAGACACAGAAACATTTACCAGGAGCTGCAGGATCCAGAAAAGGGAACCACAGCATCCAAAGCAGTTGGGGAATCTAGTAGTGATCTTCCAGCAAGCATTTCTAGTGCAAAGCTTTGAGACCTGGAAGCCACTCAGAAGGCAGGTGGCATTAAGAGAAACACCTCTGGCTACTCTATGGAAATACAAAACAACTTTATATCCTGCATCACCCAGGAAATACTTCCATCCAAATCCTACCATTGTCTGAGGGATTCCCCTGGATAAAACAACCAAGTTGTTGGCAAAGACCAGATGGCAGAGGATGGAGTCTGTGGGCCTCATCTTCTGTCCAGTGAGGAGGGTGTAGCTGTAAAAACAAAGGAAATATGAGTTCCCCAGTACCCCAGCTGCAGTCTGAATGAGGAAGGCAACTCCCATTTCAGTGTCGGCTTCGGTCATCTCTTTCATATCTAGGAAATAATGGATTTTATTGTGACACAAAAAATGGCATGAAAATTAAACAAGTATGAACATGTTAGCCAAGCTAGATGCATGAGGATCGCAGTTTGAAGCCAGTCCAGGCAGAAATGTCCCCATCAGATGCTGTGGCTCAGGCCTATACCCTATATCTAGGCCTAGGCCAGGATAACTGACAGGAAAAAAAGAAAAGAATTCCATGAAACATTATTTTAATTAATAGCATGATTAGTGATACATACAAACACGTGACAGAATGATGAGACATAACCAACATTTTGTTTATAAGGAACATCATTTCTTTTCTTTCTCTATTTTTGCCAGTAGGGCGACCTCGGTTTTGTTTCTGAGCTCCTTTTGCTCAAGGCTAGTACTCTTCCATGTTGAGTCACAGCTCCACTTCTGGCTTTTTTGTGATTAATTGGCAATAAGAGCCTCATGGACTTTTCAGCTAGGCTGGCTTTGAACCTGAATCCTCAGAATTCATCCTCCTGAATAGCTGGGTTTACACTCTGAGCCCGACAAGCAACATTATTTCTTATAATAAAGGAGATTATCTTAGACAAAAACACTTAAAATTTTGTAAAAAAAAAAAAAACACTTGATTTTGAAAAGCACTATGGCTTATTACATTCACACCAGAATTAAATAGTGGCAGAGACATACGGTAGACTGAGAAGAAAACACAAGTAGTGCACCAACTTCAGTTTATAAAAGAAACATCTTACTGGTGTATCAGCAAACAAGTATAATCTGAATTTACTCTAGCAATTTCAAATAATTAAGAAATCCAGAGAAGCCAGTTGTTGGTGACAGATGCCTGTAATCCTTATCATTTGGAGGATGGAAGCAGAGAATCTCATTTAGAAGCAAGCCTGGCCAGAAAATGTCCCTGAGACACCTATCTCCAATACACTACTGAGAAAGGGCCAGAAGCGGCACTGTGGTTCAAGTGGTGGAGCACAACCTTGGTTAAAAGAGAAGCTCAGGAATAGTGCTTAGGCCCTGAGTTCAAGCTCCAGGACTGGCAAAAATAAAATATATATATGGAGGTGTATTAGATCATTTCAGCAGAGAATGCTGTACCCCTGAGCGCACTAAGCTGTGTGGTCTCCAGAATAGGAAGGGATGTGGAGCTGCACCAAGACTGCTAACCAAGGCAGGAGAAAGGCTTGTGACTCTCACCAAATATTTTTCCTGAAATACAAGATGTGTGCCTCATTCTAACCCCACACAGCACACACATTTTACAGGGAAGTTACTTCTGCATTTTCTTGATGAGTTACATTTACTACTGTTGTCCCTTGCCTGAGAAGAATAGCTGCTTACCCTGTAGGAATTGGCTGTCAGGACAGAGGGGCAGAAGCAGTGGTCACAGCATGTGTGCTCAGCCTTGGAGCCCAATGATAAAGGCTCAGGACTGAGTGATCTCATCTTCTTGTGGGCATGCTCATTATGTCACCTGGAAGTGTGGTGAACTGTGTGGGTGGGGAACAGAGCTTTTCTATGATAAACACTGGAGAATTGTGGATACTGATGAATACCACTGAACTTCTACGACCATTTCCAACAGATATGACCCATGGTAAGGGAAGTCCAGAGAATATGGGGAAACTTTTGAAGATGATCTCATTAGAAATGAGTAGAGGAAAAGGAAATCTATTGTTTTAGAAGAGCATGGAACTAAGCAAATGGCTTTCGTGAATTTTTAGAGTTTTTCTTCTTTTGTTTCCACAATGTAATATCCTTCCTCAGCGAAGCACTATGTTAAAACACGTGTGTGTGCTTAAGATACATGTACACACACACACATACACACACACACACACACACAAGGTGCCTGTGGCTCACACCTGTAATCCTAGCTACTCAGGAGTCTGACATCTGCGGATTGCAGTTTTTAGCCAGATTGCCTAGAAAAGTCTGTGAGAGCCTGAAATTAGGGCCTGGGCGCTGTCCCTCGGCTCTTCAGCTCAAATCGAGTGCTCTACCACTTGACCCACAGTGCCACTTCCGGCTTCTGTGAGACTCTTATCTCCAAAAACTACTCAGAACAAGTTGGAAGTGGAAGAGTGCTGGTTTGAGCACAGAGAGGCTCAGGGACAGTGTGTAGGTCCCATGATCTCCCAAGTAGAAGAAGGGGGGAGGAGGAAGGGAAGGGGTGGGGCTGGTTGCTCACGCCTATGATCCTAGCTAGGAGATCTGAGGATACAGGCTCAAGGCCATCTGGGGCAGGAAAAGTCCACCAAAAACTGAACGTGGAGCTGTGGTTCAAGTGGCAGAGCACCAGAGGAAAAACCTCAGGAACATTGCCCAGGCCCTGAGGTTAAGGCCCAGGTCTAGCGCACACAAACACACACACACACACACACACACACACACACACACACACACACACACACACACACACACACACACACGGATATACACTCACACCCAAAGCCTTCCCTACTGGGGTGCCTTTGTGGCAGGTACCGGGTGGAATCGCGTAAGAACTACAATACCCAGAATGCATTGCGCCAAAAGTCAAATACGTTGAACCAATGAATGGTCAGCGTCCTGCGTTTCTGCTCTTGTTAGGGCGGGGCTTCCGGCGCCTTGGGGGAACGTCATTTCGGGGGCCCGGTACCTCCTCCAGTCCCTCAGAACCCGAGGCTCCGCCTCCGCTCCGGGCTTCGTCTCTGCTGCCCGTCGGCCGGTGCCCGCGCCCCGCTGCGCGGAGACTGTGACGGTGGCGGATTCGCCGGAGGACCGACTCAGGTAGGTGAGTGCGGGGTGGTCGACTGCTTTTCCTCCGGAGGCCCCGGCGGGCGGGGCGGGGCGGGGCGGGGAGGCCGGCAGCCCACGCCCGTGGCTGCGGCCTAGAAGGGACCATTGAGGCCCGTGGCCCTCGAGTCCCCACCTAACGATCACCGTCCCTCAGCCCTCTCCCCCTCCCCCACAGGTTCCCAGGACCGCCGAATGGACGCCGATGGACTCCCGCAGGTGAGCGGCGCGTGCTCCAGGGCCGACCCCCCATCTCGTCTCTGGCTTAGGAGGTTTACAGGATTTGTCTCCAGACCTAGAGTCGTGAGATCAAACGCAGGGATCACACATCCGGCCGCATGGACGGGCTCCGGTTTTTGGAAAGCAGTGCGAACGGATGTGGAAGGTGGTCCGGGCTTAGATACCTGACAGGCATTAGCTTGAAGGTGAGGATGAGCCGGTCTCCTGGAAGCAGAAAAGGGGAGTGTGGGAGTCGGACCAGTGAGGACTCACTTTGAGTCAGGGGCCTCCCCTGGGGGAGGAGAAAGAAGGGATGAGACCCCGTCTAGAGCTCTGGCAACAGCATGCAGAACAGACTGAGAGAAAGGGGTAGATAAAGAGCCATGGAGTTGTTGGGAAGCCGTCTTTACAGTTGTTGAGGATGAAAGATAAAAAAAAAAAAAAAATTAGGAGATAAGGTTCATGGGAGCGAAAGTGTTTGGGTTTGGTGGGCAAAGTTTGGTAGGTAAAGTGCGGAAGGTCCACTGACCAAGAAAAGATGAAAGTACAATCACTTGTCAGGAAAAAGTGAAAAGAGGGGGAGGAAAGGGGATGACTTGGGGATCTGCATGGGATGTCAGGAGAGCAGCTGATCACAGAGAGATCTGTCCCCATCATGGCAGGACTGCGTGGCTTTCGAGGATGTGGCCATTTACTTCTCTGTGGAAGAGTGGGGGCTTCTTGATGAGGCTCAGAGGCTCCTATACCTTGGTGTGATGCTAGAGACCTTTGCCCTCATCACCTCCCTGGGTAAGTCCTCTTACCCATCCCACTGTCTGGTTTGTCTCTGCACACTTGCTTCTCTCCTAGAAGCCGCTCTGCTGTTTCATCAGACTTTGAACTCTGCTAACCTCTTCTTCACTCACTTTGCACATACGCAGGGTGAGCCATATGTATTTTCTTGGTGTCTACTTCTGGGGGGTGGATGTGGGGTGCCTTGTCAGCCTAAGGTGTCTGCCCAGAGCATTCTTTGGGGTGAGATCTACAGACTCTGGGTCACAGGTTCTGCATCTCCTCCTAGGTGAAATTTCCTTGTGACTGCTGGGGTCAGGGATTATAGACAGGCACTGCCTGTCATTTACACAGGTCACAGTCTGTTTCCAAAATCTCTTTCAAGGAGCTTTGTAGTACTTACTGGTCTTCTTCCCTGTGGACTCCATGTCTCAGGGTTGTCCTGGGCCCATCCTGCAACACGCTTGTGTTGTCTGTCCCTTGGGGCTTCCTTCCTGCACATCTGTGCATGATGTAGGCTAATATAAAAACCAGAGAATTGACTTCCTTTTTGACCTGCTGGCAGGATTTAATTTTCTTTTTTTTTTTTTTTTTTCTGCTTTACTAGGATTGAACTAAGGGTCTTGGCTAGGCAAGTGCTCTGCCACTTAAGCTTTATTCTCATGTTCTCAGACCTTCTTTGCTCTAGTTATTTTTCAGATAGGGTCTCACACTTTTTTCCTAGGGCCAGACTCATGCTTTGCTCCTCCTACCCTTTCATTCCTAGAGCTGGGATTACAGGCATATACAACCACATTTGGCTTGTTTCTTTGAAGTGGAATTCTCACTAGCCAACTTTGCCTAGCTTCAAACCTTGACACTTCTGATTGCTGCCTCCCAAGTAGCTGAAATTATCTGGCTGTCCTGCAGAGTGTGTGTGTGTGTGTGTGTGTGATGAGATAGTTTTGTTGTTATCTAGACTGGTCCCGAGTTCCTAGGCTCAAGCTGTGTGTGTGTGTGTGTGTGTGTGTGTGTGTGTGTGTGTGAGATGAGATAGTTTTGTTATCTAGGCTGGTCCCGAGTTCCTAGGCTCAAGCAGTTCTCTTTCCTGTTTCCCAAATAGGAGTGCTGGTGCAAGCTATCATGACTAGCTCTCATCAAGTTTTTTGTTTAGGGTTTTGTTTTGGGGGGGGGTTGTTTGTTTTTTGGCTAATACTGGGACTTGAACTCAGGGCCTGCACACTGTCCCTGAGCTTCTTTTTGCTCAAGGCTAGCACTCTACTACTTGAGCTACAGCTCCACTTCCAACTTTTTCTGTTTCTGTGGTACTGAGGAATTGAACCCAGGGCTTCATGCACACTAGACTAGCACTCTACCACTAAGCCACATTCCTGGTCCCTCTCATCAAGTTTTTAAGGTATCTAAAAATCAGTCTGGGATATATTGCAGTGGTAGAGTTCTTGCCCAGTATGTTTGAGGCCCTAGGTTTGATTCCAAGCACTGTGTAAAAATTGAATTGAGGAAAAAATACAAAATAAAATTTATAAATTATATTTGCAGAAAATGCTTTTAAAATACAATGGGGCTGGGAAGGTGGCTCAGTGGTAGAGTGCTTGCCTCCCATGTATGAGGCCCTGGGTTCGATTCCTCAGCACCACATAAGCAGAAAAAGCCTGAAGTGGTGCTGTGGCTCAAGTGGTAGATCACTAGCCTTGAACTGAAGAGCTGAAGGACAGCGCCCAGGCCCTGAGTTCAGGCCCCACAACCAAAAAAAACCCCACAAATAACATACCCATACCATAGTCAATGTATGTATTTGATCAGAATTTCTCTGGTTTCAGTATGTTGGCATGGAGTAGAGAATGAAGACACACGTTCTGAGCAGGTTTCTGTAGGATTGTCACGAGTCAGGACTTCAAACACAGATCCATCTGGCCCAGAAGCTCATCCCTGTGGAACATGTAGTCCAGTCCTGCGGGGCTGTTTGCACCTGGCTGACCAACCTGTGCAGAAGCCATTCTTGCTTGGGGCATGTGCAAAACTTCACCAGGACCGGAATCGTCTCAATTCAGAGAAAACTTGGCAAGAGGACATAGACAACACTTCATTCGTGAGGAGCTGCAGATTCCCCATGTCAGGAAAGGCTTCCGGGAGCCATGAGGCTGGAAAGGACCTCCTGACCACATTAGACTTTATCCAACTCCAGGCCATTCCCCAAGGTGAGAAGCTGTTGACAGGTGCTGAGGGAGAGGTAGTTTTTCATACCCAAATAAGCCATTACAAGTGGGACCAGTGCGAAAGAGCATCCAGGCATGAGCATACTCATGTTTCCCACCCAAAAGTCTATGCTGGAAAAAGGCTTTATGAGTCTATCCAGTGGGAGGAAGGTTACCGCTGCAAGTTCTCACTCCAGAGAGGCCACAGTGGAGAAAGGCCTTACAAGTGCACTGAATGTGGGAAATCTTTTAGCCAAACCTCCCACTTGAATGACCACCTCCGGATCCACACTGGAGAAAGACCTTATGAGTGTGGCCAATGTAGGAAATCATTTAGCCAAAGAGCCACACTCATTAAACATTACAGAGTTCATACTGGAGAAAGGCCTTATGAATGTGGAGAGTGTGGGAAATCCTTTAGCCAGAGCTCCAACCTCATTGAACACTGCAGAATTCACACTGGGGAAAGACCCTATGAGTGTGGGGAATGTGGAAAAGCTTTTGGGTCCAAATCTACCCTGGTCCGGCACCAGAGAACTCACACAGGAGAAAAACCATATGAATGTGCTGAATGTGGGAAGTTTTTTACACAAAGTCATAGTCTCCTCGAGCACCAGATCATTCATACCGGAGCAAGGCCTTTTGAGTGTAGCCAGTGTGGAAAATCCTTCAGCCTAAAGTATGGCCTCATTCAACACCAGTTGATTCACAGTGGAGCAAGGCCTTTTGAGTGTGACCAGTGTGGAAAATCCTTTAGCCAAAGAACCACCCTCAACAAACACAACAAAGTTCACACCGCAGAAAGGGCTTACGAGTGTGGAGAGTGTGGAAAAGCTTTTATGTTCAAATCCAAACTTGTTCGACACCAGAGAACTCACACTGGAGAAAGGCCTTATGAGTGCAGTGAATGTGGGAAGTTCTTCAGACAAAGCTACACCCTTGTGGAACACCAGAAAATTCACACTGGGTTAAGGCCTTACGAGTGTGGCCAATGTGGGAAATCCTTTATTCAAAAGTCAGGCCTCATTCAACACCAGGTAGTTCACACTGGAGAAAGGCCTTACGAGTGTGGCAAATGTGGGAAATCTTTCACTCAGCACTCTGGGCTCATTCTCCACCGGAAATCTCACACCAGGGAGAGGTCTCATAGAACCGGAAGTGTGGAGAAGCCTTCAAGGTCAAACATTTAGTTCCTACTTAAGAGCTTGGTCCTTCAGTGTGTGTGCTGCTTCTTTTTTTCAGTGTTCACCTTTATGGGGGAACCACCTACCTGAAGTTACACCTCCTACTTGTAAACATCCTGAGGTAGATGTTCCCCTAGGTCCATCCCGAGTGAGGCCAGTGTCTGGTAGAAGCCATCTCCCACCCCACTCAGTGCTCAGTGTTCAGCCCAGTGTGCTAAGGAAAGGCAAATGTCTGTGTATTCCCTGGAGGAAGTCTTGAACAGACTTTAGGGGGAATGTGTTCCCTCTTCTGACTAAATCATACCTAGGCCCCAGGGTTTACTAGAAGACCTAACCTGCAGTCTGATAGAGGCTTCTACTGTTGCTTACCTTCTTGTAAATGCTTGGTCCTGTGCCCTTGTGGCTGACTGAACCTTGCAGCCTTCAGTTTACCACCAGGAGCTTCCAGGTCATACTATTCTGCTTCACACATGAATAAATGCTGTTTTGTTGAATCCACTTGCAATTTTTGGGGTTCTGTTAATATCTTTGTTGTTGAGAGAGAACAAAGTTGGACCAATTAACAGTTCTTTTGGGGGTTCCCACTTTTCTTCAGAGGTACAGCATGGCAGAAGGTAGTTCTTGTCATGCTTCACCTGTGAACCTGCATGGCAAATCTACTGAGTCTTCTCTCTGCCACAGAAACATTATGTCCCAGGGCCGTGTCCTTGTTCTTGTGGCCTAGACTCTGGGCTTAGTGCACCGTGACAGCAGCACATCCAGCAGCACAAGGCTGATGTCTTGCCTGTGACTAGCCAGATCTTGACACGCTTCAAGGACATGGCCATGACCTTTACCTGTAAGATTTAGCACCTGACCCAAAAGATGGGTTAGCTGTGAGGGAGAGCTTGGGGCACCAGTATCACTGGATAAAGGTTAGCCTCCCTCGCCCATAGGTGAGTCGTTTTCCTGTCTGGTTCCGTGCTCCCATTCATCCCTGCCTAGTGAGTGAGGCACCAGCCTGTCCAGAGCCTGTCTTTCTCTGTCCCCTGGGCTGCCCCAATTCTAGGGACCCAGTGGGCTGCTGGGAGCATCCTGTCAGTATGACTGAGGGATTCCGGAAGGATTAGGAAACTTCTTCCTGGTGTCTGGCCAATGCATGGCCCGAACCCGCGGGTGACAGTGCCGGTGCCCCAAACCCACAGGCCTGGCCTGTGTTTCCACCTAGTGCAGGCCAGTCTCCCCCCGTCCTGCTCCCTAGACCCAAGGGGGACTACATTTCCCAGAATGCTCCGTCCTTAGCTGAAGGACGCTGGGCCTATCAGCACAAGGACAGCGTCGTTTCCGTGTTTGGAGGCGGGACTTCTGGCCTCGCTCAGGTGGCGCTCATTTTAGCGGTCCTCGTGTCCATTCACGCCGCCGGGCCGTGCGGACCTCTTTGTCTGGCGGGAGGGATGCAGGGCGGGGGCCTCCCCCGGCGTCCCGGCCGGAGTCGAGAAGCCGATGGCGGCAGCCACGCTCCCGGAGCCGGCGCTGGTGAGTGCGAGGTCCTCGCTCGGCGGCCCCGCCTCTCGGTCGCACGGGAAGGCCCGGGCGAGGTGGCCGGGGCCGCGGCGCCCTGGAGCTCCGTGCCGCGCTGCGTCCCCCAGCGTCCCGGGCGGGTCCCTGTTTCCAAAGCCTTTGTGACAAGGTGGGGGACGGTGTGACCGCCAGGAGCCCCGGTGCGCGGAGCCTCGGGGGGTGATGGGGCATCTCATCTGAGCTGGTTATAATGATGTGAGGTTGGCCTTTGTCCTGTGACGCCGGAAGCCGCCGAGAATGGTGCGCACAGACTGTGAGGGAGGAAGACGTGGTAGATCCCCAGAGTGGTGTTTTAGGACTGCCTGCATTTCCCGATTTTGATATAGAGAGGGATAGACGGTAGTCCTAAGTTTTTGGCATTCACATGTGGAAGGAAGGAAGCTCCGTCCACTGGAATGTGCACCTGGTAGCCAAGTCAGTTCTCATTGGCAGTATCAGAAGCTTTGCTTTGAGCTATGACCCTGCAGGTAGTCGAGGCCTTGAAGGCCTGAGGGGAACGGGCTCGTCATAGAGCCGCACACAGGACGTGAGGTGAACTCCGGTGGCTGTGTCTTGAGTGGGGGAGGGGGAGGAGGCCATCTGGGGGATTCCTGGGACTGGTCTCAAAAAGAGATACAGGTGAGGTTTAGCTGATGTCTTTGCCCATGTGCTATTGCTGTGGAGGGAGGACACGGACTGGGACTGCTGGAATGAGCACAGAACTGGCATCAGTGGCTTGGAACCCCGGTATTTCCCGAGGTCTCAGTGTGGGGAAGAGAAGGAGCAGGTGGATGATCTGGGGGCGGGGTGGGGAGGGACATGGTCGTGAGGTGACCTGTATCTGTCATGGCAGGGTTGTGTGACCTTTGAGGATGTGGCCATTTGCTTCTCCCAGGAAGAATGGAGACTTCTTGATGAGGCCCAAAGGTTCCTGCACCTCAATGTCACGCTGCAGAACTTGGCACTTATAAACTCGCTAGGTAAGGCTCTGCACCTTCCCCATGTCCCAGGTCTGTCCACCCTTAGTTCCCTCAGATACAGACTCACCTTTACTATTGAAAAAAGAGCCTGTCCTTTGTCTACCAGTGTTGGTGCACATACTACCAGCCAAACCTTATTTCCACCTTTTCTCCCCGTGTGTGATATTCTCCCGAATTCTCATTTCATCAATGACTGCCAACACCTGGTTCCCCGACCTCTCTGATCTCTGGGCATTACTGTTCCCTCTGCTGTATTTCCCAGCATTCATGAGTACTGTCAAGTTAAGTATACTTACACCATTATATAAACCTGAATACTTACCACAGGTTCTTCTGGGCTTGGATGTAACCATCCTTTGCACAGCATCAGACTACATCCTGGTGAAGGCTTTTGAGCCTAGTCAGGAATATCTGTAGGTTCACAATGTCACACATGACCACACAGTGACCACAACAGCTTAAGGCTGTTGGCAGAGGAGCTAATTGGAGACTGTCTTCCTGTGGTCCATTGTATCCTGGGTCCTTCAGCTAGCGAAGTGCCTATCCCACCTATCCAGTCTTGGGATCTTTACAAAGTACTGCAATGCAGGCCTTTCTTGGGCCTGTTCCCAGCTTCCTTGTTCTCAGAAAAAACTTGTTGTTTTACAGAGTGTGTGAGATGAGGCTCCCTGCTGATGGCAGAGCCAGCCTGTATTTCACCAGCAATTCTCTGCTTCTAGGCTGTGGGCATGAAATAAAAGGGGAAGCTGAGCCGAGGCTTCCTGGAGGAGCACCACAGGTCAAAACTTCTAAGACCAGTCTGTCCACACAGAAGACTGACCTCTGCGGGAGGTGTGTTCCGATTCTGCAAGACATTTTGCATGTGGCTGATCTACCTGGGCAGAAACATGGGGCTGGGGCACGTACAAACCTTCACCAGCACCACAGACGTCACAGTAAAAAGAAATCTTTTAAGAGGGACCTTGATAGGATCTCATATTTAAAACGGTGCCTGTTCCGCCCATCAGTGAAGTCCTTCCCCGACTGGGAGATGGAGAGGGACCTCCCAGCCATACTGAGCCTTCTCAAATCCCTGGCCTTTCCCAACAGTAAGAAACAGAACCCAATTATTGAGGCTAGGGAGGACATCTGTAGTCACAAGAGCCGCAAGCCAGGAGAGTGTGAGACACCTGTGGACCACCCAAAAGTCTCCAGTGGGAAAAAGCTGTATGAATGCGGTAAATGTGGGAAGACCTTCCGTGGCAAGTACTCGCTTGACCAGCACCAGAGAGTCCACACCGGAGAGAGGCCATGGGAGTGCCATGACTGCGGGAAGTTCTTCAGCCAGACCTCCCACCTGAACGACCACCGGAGGATCCACACCGGAGAAAGGCCCTACGAGTGCAGCCAGTGTGGAAAGCTGTTCAGACAAAACTCTAGTCTTGTGGACCACCAGAAAATTCACACTGGAGCAAGGCCCTACGAGTGTAGCCAGTGTGGGAAATCTTTTAGTCAGAAAGCCACCCTCGTTAAGCACCAGAGGGTCCACACTGGGGAAAGGCCTTATAAGTGTGCCGAATGTGGGAATTCTTTCAGCCAAAGTGCCATTCTTAACCAGCACCGGAGGATTCACACTGGAGCAAAGCCTTACGAGTGTGAGCAGTGTGGGAAATCCTTTAGCCAGAAAGCTACCCTCATTAAACACCAGAGAGTTCACACCGGAGAGAGGCCTTATAAATGTGGCGACTGCGGGAAGTCCTTCAGCCAGAGCTCCATCCTCATTCAGCATCGGAGAATTCACACCGGAGCCAGGCCCTATGAGTGTGGCCAGTGTGGGAAGTCCTTCAGCCAGAAGTCTGGCCTCATTCAGCACCAGGTAGTTCACACTGGAGAAAGGCCCTATGAATGTGACATGTGTGGGAACTCCTTTAGCCAGTGCTCCAGCCTCATTCACCACCAAAAGTGTCACAGTATGTAGTGCCCCATAAAAACAAATGTGAAGGGCTAGGAGGGTGGCTCAGTGGTAGAGTGCTTGCCTCACATGCATGAGGCCCTGGGTTCAATTCCTCAGCACCACATAAGCAGAAAAGGCTGGAAGTGGCGCTGTGGCTCAAGTGGTAGAGTGCTAGCCTTGAGCTGAAGAGCACCCAGGCCCAGAGTTCAAGCCCCACGACCAACCAAAAAAAAAAAAAGGCATGAAAAGACCTCTGGCCCATAAGAAAATGAATTTCCTTTTTTTTTTCTTTTTCTTTTTTTTTTTTTGAGTATTATCTCACAACAACACAGTGTTTCCAGCTTAAGGGCTTGACCTCAGAGCCTCAAGCCCTTGCTTGTCTTTGTCATGGAAGGCTGGCAATCTACCACTTGAGCCACACTTCCACTTCTGGCTTTTGGGTGGTTAATTGTAGATGAAAAAAAAAAAAAAAAAGTCTTGTAGATATGTCTGCTCAGGCTGGCTTCAAACTGTAATCCTCAAATATCAGCCTCCTGCATAGCTAGGATTATAGGTGTGATCCACCAGCCCCTGGCTTCTTTTGATTTCTTAATCCTTTGACATTGCTAGAGTAAATTTGCTTGTTTGCTAATAAACTAATGAGATGTATCTTTTGAAGTTCTTGTAATACTTGTTTCCCTCTCAGTCTACAGTATTGTGTTATTTGATTCTGATGTAGATACATTAAGATGTTTTACTTTTTTTTTCATACTTACGTTGTTTTGCAAAATTTAAACTTTTTATCTAAGATAAACTTCTTTATTAAAAGAATATTGTTCCTTATAGGCAAGATGTCAGCTGATATCTCACCGTTCTTTCAGGTATTAGTATGTTAACAGTCATGCTATTCAAATGACATTTCATGTATGTGTTTGTTTTTTGTGCCAGTACTGGGGCTTGAACTCAATCCTGGGTAATGTACCTTAGCTTTTTTCTTACTTGATTCAACTTGCAGGGTTTGCTGGTTAATTGGAGAAAAGAGTCTTTCCTGCTCAGGCTTGCTTTGAACTTCTATCTTCAGATGCCAGTCTCCTGAGTAGCTAGGATTACAGGTGTGAGCCACCACACACAGCTTATTGGTTGATTTGGAAGTCTTGAGTTGGCCTCAACCTGTGATCTGCCTGAGCTTTGCTTCCAGAGCTGAGATGACAGTCATGAGCCACTGTGTCAGGACTCTAAATTATTTTAATGAGCAAGTCCTGGGGTTCCAAAGAAATAGCTCACTTGTAATTTTCTTTGGGTTAGCCCTGCTTCCCTAAACTGTCATATGGGTAACGGGATGTGGGGTTTGTGCATGTCCTTAACCAGCCCTTCACTACAGCCCCACTCAGGTGTGCCCAGGTCTGGTCTGACCATGTCTGCGCTCCATATCAAGCAAAGCAGCCAAGGACTGGCTGGAACCATTTATGGAGAGTTCATCATACTGGGCACCAGTGGCTCACGCCTCTTATCCTAGCTATTCAGGAGGCTGAGATCTGAAGATCGTAGTTCAAAACCAGCTCGGGCAGGAAAGTCTGTGAGACTCTTATCTCCAATGAACCACCAGAAAACTGGTTGTAGCACTGTGGCTCAAAGTGATAGAGCACTCACCTTGAGAAAAAGCTCAGGGTTGGAGCTCAGGCCCTGAGTTCAGACCCCGTGATCATGTTGAGATCTCCCACAGACTGTGACATTTGACTGTACAGTCATCACTTCTTTGCCCTAGCCCTAGGACCTTTGTCTGAACAACCACAAACTCAACCACAATTTGGTTGAATGAAACTCCACTTACCAAAAGCTACATGCACTTTTCCAGCATGTCTCTACTTTCAGATTGTTGGCATGGAGTGGAGGCTTAAGGGGAAACCTACCTTCTCAGCAGTGTTTCTGAGCAGTCTCCATTGTTGGGGTTTTCACAAAGAAGATCCACTCGAAATCCCTCGGGTAAAATACAGAAACAGTGATGATGCTGTCTCAGCCAGGTCCTGAGATCATGGGGCTTGGGGTGCCTCTCTCCTCTTGGGGAGATACCATCTTACATACATACTGCAAATGCAAGCACTGCATCTGCTGTCCCCTACCAAATTAGCGTTTGTTGCTCTCCATTTGAAACATGGCAGATTGTTGGAAGAAAGTGAGAATATCTTAGGGAAGAAAGAAAGAAATATCTTGCCAAGCACCGGTGGCTCAGCCTTTCATCCTAGTTACTCAGGAGGCTGAGATCTGAGGATCACGGCTCTAAGCCAGCCCGGGCAGGAAAGTCCATGAGACTAATCTCATTAACCACCAAGTGGTAGAGCGCCTGTCTTGAGCTGAGGGGCAGCACCCCGGCCCAAATTTCAAGCCCCACGACTGACAAAAAAAGAAAGACCTATGATCTAGGAAACCAGTGGGCTTGACACCCCACGAGCCCCACGGGGGGATGTGCTCGGGGAATGGAGGGAAAGGCTCACTAGGGGCTTCAGGAGGCCTCACCAGCCTTCTCTTCCCTCTTCCCGCCGTCTCCTCAGCTTTTTCTCTTGTTCTTGATTGGAATTCACCGAAAACTGAAATGAAAAGCTAGCTATCTTCAGGCCCGCAGGAAGAATAACGACGTTTGACCATTTCCACCGCAATACGCTCGAGCCACGCCCGAGTGGACTCTTAGAAGCAGGCATCCCCCTGCACGTATGTCTTCCTAGCGGCTGGAATGGTGTTTGTTTTTGGGAGCAGGCTCTACTTGAGGCTGATATAATGTGGCCATAATAAGCTGATAAAATCTGCCTGAAGAAAAAGCGCCTTCCCAGCCCTGTAGGTTTGAGAAGTCATTTCCAGGGCCTGTGAAAAAGTGGCACCAGGGAAAACGGGTGCTGCGGCGCTGGGAACTACACTACCCAAGGGACCGTGCGCCGAGAGCCAACCAATGAGAGCTGGGGGCGGGACTTCTGGTGGAGGCGGCTCAGCTTCCTTCACGCTTATCCCTGCACCTGCGCAGCGGTCATTTTGGCTGCTCGTGTGTCTCCCTTTTTCCTGTGGCTCTTAGTTCATGAGACTGAGACGGTGAGAGAAGCCGTCGCTCGCGCCCCGCAGAGCGGGTCTGGCGCTGGGAACGCCGCTCGCCCGCCCGCGGAGTCCGATGGCGGCGGCCGCCCTGACGAACGCGGCCCAGGTGAGCGCAGCGGCCGCGGGGCCCGCGGGGAGGGGCGCGCGCGGCCTGCAGCCCCGGGCCCGGCCGGGGCCCGCGGGAAAGGGGGCGCAGGGCAGGCCCGGGCCGCTGCCCTCCGCAGGAGGGCTACTACTGCAGAACCGGGATTTCCGGACCAGCCACGGCGGTGGGAAAGTCTGATGGGGCTTTGTTCAGAAAGAAGCGGGGCCAGGGCGCTCGCAGGGAGTGTTAAGGCAGGGCCTGGCCCCGAAGTGACACAGCCAGGGAGTGTTAAGGCAGGGCCTGGCCCCGAAGTGACACAGCCAGGGAGTGTTAAGGCAGGGCCTGGCCCCGAAGTGACACAGCCGGTGTGACTTCTGAGTGTCCGGTGAGAACGCTTCCCGCCAAGACGCGGACGAGGAGGCGCCCGCTGTCTCTGCACTTGGGGCAGGAGGTGGCTGAAGTTGGGGGGAGCGTATTTCTCAGGAAGCCACGCGTCCTGTCACAAGGGTTAGTTCTTGGGGTGAGAAACGCACCCCTCAGAAAGGAACGCGTCCTGTGGTCTCTCCTGAAGCAAAGACAGCACTTCTGTGTTTCTAAATATCTAGTATTTCTGAATTGCTTTCACCAGGCCTGTTTCCTCAAGGACTTTGGGTCCCTTTAAGTACATGAATGCTTAGCACACCTCACTTTTCCCCAGTCTATCGGGCTTCATGAGGACTGCCGGCAGGCTGTGCGTTGGCATCTTCATCGCTGAGGGCCTTGGGAACCATGGAAGATTATGAACCGAGGAGTTCACAGTGAAGGCTAGGGTTCATGTCCTCTCGGTGCAACTCTGAGGGAAAACTAATTGGACTGCCTGACAAAGCACAGCACGGGCCAAGCCCTTCCTTGCCCAAAAACAGACACAGGAGGACCAACGCTTAAAGTTTACTTGTTCATCCCAAAGTCACCTGGTTTCCAGGGCCGGATAGGAGACATGAAAGATCACCAGTGCTCCCCTAAATTCTCTGGCTCACTTCTGCCAGTATGGTTGAAGAGGCATGGAATATGCGTAAGGAAGAGGTCTTTACTGACTCCCACATGGTCTTTGAGGCTGTGGTCTTCTCAAGGTTGTTCTCCCTGCCCCTGGGTTTGGAAACCTGGAAGAGAGCTCCACCAGCTAAGGACTGGACAGTCTAAAGAATGGTGTGCATGTGTAGAGGAAGTACAAGCTGAGGCTCTAGTACTGGGACTTAAGAGTGGGGTGTGACCATAGATCTTGTGTTATGAAACATTCCAGGGAGAATCCCAGGGTAGCTACATGGCAGAAAGGAGGGGGACCCTGGGCTGCAGTCCTATGTCTTCCATGGCACCCATCTGCCCACCTGCCTACTGTTGCATGAGCAGGGGGTAGCAGCAGTGTCATAACTGAGGTCGAGAAAGTGGGAGGAGAGCAGACATGTAGTCAACATTTTCACCTGTTCCCATCATGACAGAGCACGGTGACCATCGAGGACGTGGCTGTGTACTTCTCCTGGGAGGAGTGGGAGCTCCTTGACGAGGCTCAGAGACACATGTACCTCAGTGTGATGCTGGACAACTTTGTCCTTGTGACCTCACTGGGTAAGTGTCTTATACCGTCCCAGGGTGGGCTGGACACTGCCTGCCTCATCCTCTTCACGTCTAGCCTGTGGGTGCTGCTTTTCTTTCTCTTCCTGGGCTGTGCTCAAAAGGCCAGATGCAGCCACATGCTTGCACTTTTCTCTCCCTGTGGCCCAAGTGCCTGCTGCTCTGGAGCCTGGTAGGAAGAATTCAAGGTACTCTTGCAGTGAGTCAGTGGATTCTACTTTGCTTGTCTCCTTCCTAGCTAGGTCATGGAATCTCTTTGTCCTGTGTTTTGCTCCTTTCTAGTTGACAGTTCTTGATGCTTGTTTGTGCTAGAATTATAACCACTAACCTGGTATTACTTCTGTGGACTAAGAGCCTTTTGGGGGAAGGGGAGAGGGACAGTCCTGGATGCTGGCCCATGGCTTTTTTGTTCAAAGCGAGCACTCTACCATCAACCATAGTTCTACTCCCAGCTTTTTGGTGGTTAGTTGGAGATAAGTGTCTCATGGACTTTTTCCTGCCCAGGCTGGCTTTGAACAACAATCCTCCAATCTGAGACTCCTGAGTAGCTAGGATCACAGGTGTGAGTCACCGGCACTGACCAGAGCTGTTTCTGTGAGGTCTTCATTCAAGGTTCTTTTTGTGATTTTTTTTTCTTTCTGTGGCCCATAAAAAGACATACTTGCCACATCTTTTCCTCATGAACTTACATTATCCAAGATCTGGGAGGGGGGTGGGAACCAGACAAGGATGGATGTGACTCCAGCCTTGGCTCGATGGTGCAGAACCCTGCTCCACTGGGCGAGAGCTTAGAGACGGTGTCACATCAGGCCATGTTCACCTTACACTTCAGCCCTGTTTCGTGACAAAGCCTGATTTCCACATGGTCTTCCAGGCTGTGGTCTTCTCGAAATTGTTCTCCCTGCCCCAGGGTTTGGAAACCTGGAAGAGAGGTGGTGGAGCCGTGGGACTGTCCAGCTAAGGGCTGCACCTCATTATTATTCCTCTTCCCCCTCCTCTTTTTCTTCCTCTGCTTTCTCCCCTTCCTCCCCCCTCCCTATTTGTTGGTTAAAACTGCCTTTGAACTGATTTTGCCAGGTCTCAGCCTCTTGAGTAGCTAGGATTACAGGTGTGAGCTACCATTGCCTAGCTCTTTTCTTCCCATTCTTGGTGCTTTGCCAGCTTGTTTTTCCACTGACTTCTGCTCCTAGCTTTTCTGCCACTTTTTTTTTTTTTTTTTTTTGGGGGGGGGGTCCGGTCGTGGGGCCTGAACTCTGGGCCTGGGCACTGTCCCTCAGTTCTTCAGCTTAAGGCTAGCGCTCTACCACTTGAGCCACAGCACCACTATCTGCTTTTTTCTTTTTGCTTATGTGGTGCTGAGGAATCGAACCCAGGGCCTCAGGCATGCAAGGCAAGTGCTCTACCACTGAGCCACCTTCCCAGCCCCTTTTCTGCTACTTTCTGCCCTCACTTATTGCCCATTCTCTTTCTTGCTGCCCCTGCTGTGCCCTCCATGGGTGGCCCAGACATTGGGTGTTAAGACAGTAGACACTGGAACTCTAGCTGCTCATCTGCAGTTGAATTTTTCTGTTTCTGGACAAACAGCATTTACATGACGACAGTAATTAAGGTCCTGCTGAAAGCCATTCACAAAGGAGAAAATTGGGAGCCCTATCTGCCTTCCCTTGCTGTGCTGTACCCAGCTCCTCTGCTTGTTTGGTGAGGCCTCCTGGCTCTTGTGAGCTTTAGAGCCCTGGCACCACAGAGCAGCCTCCACCTCGGTCTGATTCCATGTTTATCCTGAAAAGATCTCCATGTCCTCATCCACTAGCATTTGTGACATGGCTGCTATACCCAAAAGACGGCATGCCCTTCACCACTGTCTGTGCTTTCAGGTTGCTGGTGCGACATAGATAATCAGGTTCCTTCTGAGCAGCATGTTTCCGTGGAAAGACTGTCACACATCTGGACTCCAACGCCGGACTTACTCACCCAGAATGCCTATCTCTGTGAAATGTCTGACCCTGCCATGGAAGATAGGCAGTATACAGCCGAGCACAAAGGAAGACGTGATCAGAAATTGTACACATGCGAGAAACAATTCTCTTTCAGCGCAAACCTTTATCAGAACCAGGAGCACAGTGGGGAGAAATCCCACAGTAAGGACTTACACCAGGTCTATATAAAAAATAACTACAGCATTCACGCACCAGGGAAGTCCTATGTCTATGGGGAGGCTGAGAACAACTTCCCGGACAACTTGGGCTTCCTTCAGCACCAGGCCTCTCCTGAGGAGGTCAAGCCACGCAGCGTCGCTGGTTCTGGTGGCAAAAGTCACAAATGTGACGAGTGCGGGAAAGCCTTCCGCCGCAGACGCACGCTTGTTCAGCACCAGAAAATCCACACTGGAGAGGGACTGTATGAGTGCAGTGACTGCGGGAAAACCTTCACCTATAAGCACACGTTTATTCAGCATAAGACAGTCCACACGGGGGAAAAGCCTTTTGAGTGCAGTGACTGTGATAAAGCCTTCAGGTTCAAATACAAGCTTGTTCAACACCAGCGTGTTCACACTGGAGAAAGGCCTTATGAGTGTGCTGAATGTGGAAGAGCTTTCGGGTGCAAATCCAAGCTTGTGCGACATCAGAGAATCCACACAGGAGCAAAACCCTACGAATGTGCCGAATGCGGGAAGTCCTTCAGACACAGCTCCAGCCTTGTCCAGCACCGGCGAGTTCACACTGGGGAAAAGCCATATGAGTGTAGGGAATGTGGGAAAACCTTCAGACAAAGGTCCAGTCTCATTCAACACCAGAAAGTCCACACAGGAGTAAAGCCTTATGAGTGTAGTGAGTGTGGGAAATGCTTCCGTCAAAGCTTCAGCCTTATTCTGCATCAGAGAATTCATACTGGAGAACGGCCTTACGAGTGCAGTGAGTGTGGGAAGTCTTTTAGCAAAAACTGTAACCTCATTCAGCATCAGAAACTTCACACCAGATAAAGGCCTCTTGACACAGCCAGTTCAGGTAGCAGTCTATTCTGATTCAGCATCAGAGACCTCACGACCCCAGAATTTCTTGAATTCAGTGGATATGAGAAAGTCTTGTTCCGCACGAGGGAGTCCACCTAAGATGACAGTCTCAGACCCTCAGAGAATGTGCTGTTTGATTGTTCAGCTGTGTGACGGAGTCTCCTGCCTGAAGTTGAACCTCATTCATCTGAGCATCCACGGTAGGGAGGTGCCTCATTAGTTCCAGGTAGGTGAGTTTGGGGGAGCCACGTTCTGCATTTAACGTGCCCATGATCTTTCCCACGATAGTCATTCTGAAACCATTGCACCTCTACCACTGAGTATGTCCATATCTCATTTACCACAGATGTCTGTGCTCTCCCTCGTTCCCTGGACAATATTGTAGTCTTAATTCCTTGCAGGGGGGTTTCCATTCCCTTTCTTCTGACTGGTTTTGGGGCTTTCGCTTATTGGTTTCAGTTAGTTTAAGACAGAATCTTCTATATAGCCCAGGCTGTGCTCAAACTCACAGTCTGCCTGCCTTGGCCTCTCAGGTGCTGGCATCACAGTCTGAGTCAGTGCACCGGGGTTCCTGGCTCCTCCTCTGACAGTTTCAGTGGAATTTTTGAGCCTCTGAGTTATAGACCTTGAAAAACTGTCTGCCTCACATTGTTCTGGTGTGTGAAGTAATAAAGATCTTACTGTTTACATTATATTTAATCTTTTTTTTTTATAATTCCGGTCATTAGGCTTGAGCTCAGAGCCAGGGTGCTGTCACTGAGCTTTTTTGCTCAAGGTTAGCATTCTATCACTTGAGCCACAGCTCCACTTCCAGCTTTTAGTGATTAATTGGAGATAAGAGTCTCACAGACTTTCCTATCCAGGCTGGCTTCAAACCTTGATCCTCAGATCTCAGCCTTCTGAGCAGTTAGGATTACAAGTGTGAGCCACTGGCGTCCAGCTGTTACCTTTAATCTTAAGGATTCAATTCATTATATGTGGTAGTTGAATGTGATAGAGAATTGGAATCTGCCAGTATGAGGGGGTAAACAGTTTTGGGGAGGGGCTAATTTTCTGTGACTCAAAGGAATCAGTGCTGTGCCAGAGATCTCTCGCTAAACTTTGGCCCGGTCTGCATTCCTGCCTGGTACAGAAAATAAATACTTGGTCTTTGTCCTTAGTTCCTGAGATGGTGTTCCTAAAACCTATGGTAGTGACTCACATCAGAGGACATTAAATAATGACAATCACTGCTTCAGTGATTCGATGTAGGAAAGCTGGGAACTTGAGGCTCCAATGTGTGAGATTCCTGGTGTTTCTCAATTATATACTGATGGGTCTGCAGAGAAACTTCTGTTAGGAGAGCTCCTGGTGTGCTGGTCTATTCTGAGGCAGTGCCAGGTTATATGCTCTTTGGACATACTGAGACCCTACTTCCTTCTCCTCTCACAAGGCCATCAACCTAAGGATTTCTGATTGCTATATACCAAAGAGACTTAGGACAGAGTCCACCCAGGGATAACTCACTGTGGGTTCCACTCGTCTCTGACTCTGGTCAGAGATAGGAGCATGCAGACAGCTCCAGGAGGACTCTTCCAAGTGCTCCCCTTGGTCTTCCTGTTAGAGTAGTCTGTCCTGTGCTCGGGCTGATTCACACTTTCCAGCTGTGAGCTGTGTGGTCTCTAGTTTTGAGGGAGACCTTGCCAAAAGCTGCATCACAGCTGTGAGCTGTGGGTGCCTATCACTCATACTATGCAAGGCTGGGAAGAAAATGGCTTCCAGCTGGCTGAAGCAGGCATTATCAATCTAGAAATTGCTTCTTTTTTTTTTTGTCGGTCATGGGGCTTGAACTCTGCCTGGGCGCTGTCCCTCAACTCTTCTGCTCAAGGCAAGCGCCTCTACCACTTGAGCCACAGCACCACTTCCGGTTTTCTTAGTGGTTTATTGGAGATGAGTCTCACGGAGTTTCCTACCCAGGCTAGCTTTGAACCATGATCCTCAGATCTCAACCTCCCGAGTAGTTAGGATTACAGGTGTGAGCCACCAGTGCCCAGCATTAGAAATTGCCTTTTTTTTTTTTAACATTAAAATGTGTTTGTTTTTTTGTTTTGGGTTTTTTTGCTCTTACATTCCTTTATTTTATTCAACCACTGAAAACCTCTTAAAGTAGAAATAGAAATCTAAGGTCTAGGAAGGTGGCTTAGTGGTATAGAGTGCTTGCCTAACACGCATGAAGCCCTGGGTTCAGGTCCTCAGCACCAGATAAACAGAAAAAGCTGGAAGTGGCACTGTGGCTCAAGTGGTAGAATGCTAGCCATGAGCAAAAGCAGCTCAGGGACAATGCCCAGACCTTGAATTAAAGCCCCAAGACTGGGAAAAAATATAATAATAATAATCTAGAGTGCTGAAAGGGGTCCTGAGGTTTGGTGAATAGACCTGTGGAAACATGGACACAAGCCCGTCTCATCTTTTTCTTTGTGCATAAACTTCTTTATTTACCTCCATAGTACTAATTACTATAAATTTGGCCCATAGTAATGTAACTTAAGTCCTTATTCCTACTGAGCAGCCATTTGATATAAGCAAACGCAGAAATAAATGCTTCAGACTGGAAATGTGGCCTAGTGGTAGAGTGCTTGGCTAGCATGCATGAATCCCTAGGTTCAATTCCCCAGTACTACATAGACAGAAAAAGCTGGAAGTGGTGCTGTGGCTCAAATGGTAGAATGCTAGCCTTAGGCAAAAGAAACTCAGGGACAGTGCCCAGGCCCTGAGTTCAAGCTCTAGGACTGGCCAAAAAAAAAAAGAGAGAGAGGGCTGGGAAGGTGGCTCAGTGGTAGTGTGCTTGCCTTGCATGCCTGAGGCCCTGGGTTCGATTCCCCAGCACCACATAAACAAAAAGAAAAAAGCCAGAAGTGGCGCTGTGGCTCAAGTGGTAGAGCGCTAGCCTTGAGCTGAAGAGCTGAGGGACAGCGCCCAGGCCCAGAGTTCAGGCCCCACAACCGGACCCAAAAAAAAAAAAAGAGAGAGAGAAAGAGAGAGAAAACTTCATCTTGCCAGCCACCGGTGGCTCATGCCTGTAATCCTAGCTACTCCAGGCTAAGATCTTAAGATCATGATCCATGCCTGCCGGGGCAGGAAAAATCTGTGAAACTGTTGTCTCCAATGAACCACCCGAAAACCAGAAGTACTGCTGTGGCTCAAAATGGTAGAGTGCTAGCCTTGAGCAAAAAGAGCTCAGGGACAGCGCCCAAGCCCAGAGTTCAAACCCCACAACTGACAAACTAAGTAAATAAATAAATACTTCATCCCTTTTTACTGATATAAAATATAGAAGAGGAGAAACATGAGGAAAAGCAACCACTTTGTTCTGTCCATTCATGTACTAAGTCCTCACTGTATGCTATTAAAATATTATTCTTGTAAACCATATACATGAGACACAGTTGAACTCAAGGCCTCATGCTTGCTAGACAGGTGCTCTGCCATTTCAGTCACATCCCCAGCCCTTTTTGCTTTAGGTATTTTTCTCACACTCATTCCCCAGATAATCCCACACTGCATCCTCTCATCCATTCCCCATCTTAGCCAGGTCACTGGCATACTATCAGGCCCAGCTTATTTGTCCAGATGGAATTTGAGTAACTTGCCAGGAAGGCACTGAATTATGATCCTTCCTATATCTGCTTCTAGAATAGCTGGGATGACTAACTAGTCTAGTTTTATAGTGTTTTGAAGAGTGCAACAAAAATAAGGAAAAATGAACAGCCTATAGAGAGAAATAATGTTTCAGTGGAAAACTGCAGTGGAGTCCGGTCGGCACTAAGCTCTCTTCCCTTCTCTGTCTGTCCACAGCTCTCCAGACAGATGTTCACATTTTTGTCTGACCTTCCTGAGTTGTTGTCTCTACGTACGTCTGCCTTGTCCCTGAAGCACACCAGGCTGACGCTGCATGGTTGTGTAAGCTCACAGGAACCAGCCCAGCAGGCAACCCTGGAAGTAACCTCTGCGTCCTCTGTGCAGCCTGCAGAGGCTCACCGGAACGCCGGACGTGACGCCGGACGTGGTGACCAAACAAGTGGAAACCACAAAACACGCTTTACTACGCTTTAAGCCTGTCAGGTCGATGTGTGTGTTTTGTTTTGTGTCCTGGTTTGTGGTGCTCTGAGATCGGGGCCTGCATTTGCTAGGTATGTGCTGTGCTACTGAAGCAGGCAGCTGTCCTTCTTTTGCTTTTTGCCCTGACTGGTGCCTGGACCCCAGTCTGCCTCGGTCATTACACTTCCTGCAGCAGCTGAGAAGATGGCCTGGACTGCACCTGCTCCTGGCTGCTTCTCTCCCGAAGGACCCTCACCGGCCCAGGCTGGCTCAGAGACCGCCTCCTATGTGGCTAGGGTGGAGGATGGTGCCTCCTGCAAGCTGGCAGTTGGGAGGAGGTTTTGAGAATTTTGGTCCGACTTGGCCTTGAACCTACAAGTCATGGGCAGGCGTGAGCCACTGCACCTGCTGGGCGTCATTTGTATGGTGGGTGTGTAGTACGTGTAGTGGGTGTGTTGTAGATGGTGGGTGTGTCGTGTGGTGGGTATGTTGTAGATGTGTGGAGGGGGGCTGTGGTGGGAGTGTTGTAGGGGTGTGGCGAGGTTTGGTGGGTGTTACAGGTGTGTTGTAGGGGTGTGGCAGGGGGTGTCTAGTCCCACCCCACACACCCACACCGGCCCGCACACTGGCTCACCAGTAGGCCTTGGCCCAGTACCCCGCCTGCTCCAGCCCGCCAGGCTGGCACAGTCTCGGCTCCTGGATCCCGACGCCGTTCTCTGGTCAGGAGCTGGCTCTGGGCTGGGAAGGTGGTTCAGTGGTAGAGTGCTTGCCTCCCATGCATGAGGCCCTGGATTCGATTCCTCAGCACCACATAAGCAGGAAAAAAAGCCAGAAGTGGCGCTGTGGCTCAAGGTAGAGCGCTCGCCTTGAGCTGAAGAGCTGAGGGACGGCGCCCAGGCCCAGAGTTCAAGCCCCACGACCGACCAAAAAAAAAAAGAAAGAAAGGCTCTCTGTGCAAGCGCACTGACCGCCAGAAAGAAGGAAATGAAGACGATGGTGGGAGCCCGCCCGGGGACCCGCCAGAACCACACTTCCTGCGAGCGGCGGTGTCCGGGCGGGACTTCCGGCATCTTGAGGATGTTTGGACCAATGCTGTGGAGGATGGGGCGGGGCCCACGGGGACCCCTGCGGCCTTGGAGCTCCTCGGGTGGGTGGGTGCTGTGTGCTCAGCCTTAAGAAGACTCTGGCTTCTGGGCTTGTGGCTCCGATAGGGCCCTGATGGTGCCCACTTCAGTCAGCAGAACGCGGAGTGAGGAGGGGCGGGGCAGCGATTAAGATGTGGGCGCCGTGGTCTGGGGCGGGGCCTGCGCGGTGACGGACCTCGTGACTGGGCGGATGCGTGGCGTTCTCGAGCTCTCAGGCGGCAGGGCGCCTCTCCGGGAAACACGCGCCCCCGCGCGAGCCCGGGCCCTGACGCCCGCAAGCACCGCTCCGGCTCCTCCCGGCCGCACGCTGAGGCCAGTGTGGACCGCGTGACCGGGCGGGGAGTGGGGAGAAGCACCGGAGGCTCAGTGGTGCTTGCCATGTGGACACCCCTGCGACAGGGAGGAGGACTCCT